CTGAACCAGTATTTACCCAAGTCTTTCCTAAATCTAAACTTATCCAATTTATACCCATTGTTTCGTGTTCTGTTTTGTGTTGATACTTTTAATACCCTATTAATATCCCCTTTGTTATGTCCATTCACCCACTTGTAAACCTCTATCATGTCACCCCTAACTCTTCGCCTTTCCAGTGAATGCAACTTAAGCTTTGTTAATCTTTCTTCATATGAAAGATTTCTAATTTGGGGAATTAACTTAGTCATCCTACGCTGAACACGTTCAAGTGAATTTATATCCATTCTATAATATGGCGACCAAAACTGAACTGCATAATCTAAATGGGGCCTAACTAGAGCAAGATATAGCTTGAGAACCACACCAGGTGTCTAACGCTTCGATTAATAAATCCCAGTGTCCTATTCGCCTTATTACGAACATTCATGCATTGATCCTTTGTTTTAAATTCTTACTAATCATAACTCCCAGATCCCTTTCGCAATTCGACTTCGCAATCTCAACACCATCTAGCTCGTATCTTGTAACCCTATCATCATTACCTAACCTCAGAACTTTACATTTATCAGCATTAAACTGCATCTGCCAATCCTTCGACCATTTAAAAACCCTATCTAGATCAACTTGAAGTGATAGTGAGTCCTCCTCCGAATTAATTTCCTTACCGATTTTCGTATCATCGGCAAATTTGCAAATGTTGCTACTCAAACCTGAATCTAAATGATTTATATATATTATAAACAACATAGGTCCCAGGACAGAGCCCTGAGGCACCCCACTTACAACATTTTCCCACTCTGACTTGACTCCATTTATACTAACTCTCTGTTTCCTTTGAACATAAGAACTGTTTCACTGCTACACCTATGAAAATATTTGCACTAATATATCAATTTTCAATTACATCAGCTGAAAATATCTATGCCTGTCCAATCGAAAGTTTGGGTGCCTAGGCTAAAACAGCCTAGTTTAGGTTTATGGGTGTCACGCGGCTTTTCAGGATAAAGCTATTTGTTTTTGTTTTCTACCACAGACGTCGCCACACATTTACAATGGTAATCAGCATATATACATATTCTGTCCTCCAGGCCACACATCTACAATGGTATGCAGCGTATATACATATTCTGTCCTCCATGGACAGGGTTAAAGATTTGATAAACATATAGTTGATTGACCAATCAACCACAGAAGGTGTTTAGAGTGCTTTTTAAAATGTTAATCTAGCCTACACATACAAATACACGTTTTAACGTCTGTCCTACATAAACAGTTCAAGGTATCTTTTACATAGTGTCATTAACGTGCGTGAGTGGTTGGCGAGGTCATCTTGGGAGTGCCAACTTGACCTTTGTGAGTCATTATCTCTTACTGTTCACAGTCATCAACTTTAAAGGATTTTAAATATTGTTTAATTAAAATAAAACAAAACGTTAATACTCTTATGCTTTACCATACGCTTCAGCTCCAAATTAAAAAAAAAATAAGAACAAGAGGCTACAGTAGGCCTACTGACCCACGTAGTAAGATGTTGCAGTAGGCCTAACCATACTGACCAACTTCAACCTGGCTGACCTCAGCCCCCCCCCCCCCACCACCCATCACTTGACCAACCTCAGCCCCCCCCCCACCCATCACTTTACCAGCCTCAGCCCCCCCCCCCACCCATCACTTGACCAGCCTCAGCCCCCCCCACCCATCACTTGACCAGCCTCAGCCCCCCCCCACCCATCACTTGACCAGCCTCAGCCCCCCCCACCCATCACTTTACCAGCCTCAGCCCCCCCCACCCATCACTTGACCAGCCTCAGCCCCCCCCCACCCATCACTTGACCAGCCTCAGCCCCCCCCCACCCATCACTTGACCAGCCTCAGCCCCCCCCACCCATCACTTGACCAGCCTCAGCCCCCCCCACCCATCACTTTACCAGCCTCAGCCCCCCCCCCCCACCCATCACTTGACCAGCCTCAGCCCCCCCCCCACCCATCACTTGACCAGCCTCAGCCCCCCCCCACCCATCACTTGACCAGCCTCAGCCCCCCCCCCACCCATCACTTGACCAGCCTCAGCCCCCCCACCCATCACTTGACCAGCCTCAGCCCCCCCCACCCATCACTTGACCAGCCTCAGCCCCCCCCCACCCATCACTTGACCAGCCTCAGCCCCCCCCCACCCATCACTTGACCAGCCTCAGCCCCCCCCCACCCATCACTTTACCAGCCTCAGCCCCCCCCCACCCATCACTTGACCAGCCTCAGCCCCCCCCACCCATCACTTGACCAGCCTCAGTCCCCCCCCCCCACCCATCACTTGACCAGCCTCAGCCCCCCCCACCTATCACTTTACCAGCCTCAGTCCCCCCCCCCCACCCATCACTTTACCAGCCTCAGCCCCCCCCCCACCCATCACTTGACCAGCCTCAGCCCCCCCCCCCACCCATCACTTGACCAGCCTCAGCCCCCCCCCACCCATCACTTGTCCAGCCCCCCCCACCCATCACTTGTCCAGCCCCCCCCCCCACCCATCACTTGTCCAGCCCCCCCCACCCATCACTTGTCCAGCCCCCCCCCCCCACCCATCACCTGACCTTCCCTCGGGTCAGTAGAGATTATATAATGTTACAATCGAGGAAAAGGGAAGGGAAGGGAACTATCAGAGGGGAAAGCGCCAAGCCATTACGACTATCTAGCACTGGGAAGAGGGTTAGGATACGGATTTGGGATGAGACGGAGGGTAAGGAATGGTGCCCCCAACCACTTGTGGACGGTCGGGGATTGAACGCCGACCTGCAAGAAGCGAGACCGTCGCTGTACCGTCCTGCCCAAGTGGTTGGACAAGGAGAAGGGAGAAGACGCTGGAGTCAGCTGTCACCAGACCAGCAGACCACGCCCAGTCATTGAAGTACTGCTGCTAGGGAGGCAACAGCCTGAAGGCCAGTTGCTGCCCAAACGGCTCCAGCAAGCCAAGTGGGGACAAGTCAGTAATATTTTACACCGTAATATAGCTCGGAACGTTATGAATATCAATTATTCTAATACCCTTAAGCTTGAGTTTCAAGGTCACTTGGATGGGCTAATAATTAGTGTAATTGCTAAAAATGTTACGATAAACATTAATGAAGGCAAACACCGCAAGTTAAAGTATTTAACACGGTCTAGTTGATGTTAGATTAATCTGGCAATAAATTATACTCTTATTTGATACAACCGAAGAAGCGACACAACTTATCGTTCATTAAATTAATATCGGCCACTTTCATATATGCTCAGCAATGAAGAAAACGTTCTGACTATACCTTGTTAAGAGAACCTTGACTATGTTTTTTTTTCGGGGGGGGGGGGAAGTAAAGAGGAAGGAGAGGCATAGGTGAAGGGAAGTATAGAAGTGGGAAATACAGTGAGAGGTATGAAAGCAGGCGGGCTGTCCGCCTTGCTGACACCATGTGTGGGTGTTGGCACACTATGGTGATGGTGTCAGATGTGCTGCTGCACATCCCTCACTACCCATCACCCATCACTAGGGGGGAAGGAGGGGGGGGAGTTACATGGCACCAGTAGTACACATTAATGTATATAGCTTTGTCATTACCGAATCAGGAACTTGGCAAGTATAAAAAAAGTTGTTATACTTCATTTTAGTTTTTCCCATAGATTTTATCACACGAGAATACGCTACCACCCACACCAGAATCTACTGGAATTTCGAGAAAACATTAGTCCCGAATTGTTAGTAGTAACCGTAGACACATCGTGCACAAACGTTGCTACACTGTAATTTATGGACAAAAATGACCAATGTATTTATTTCGTAGGCGACGAGTTTATTGTCTGCATCTACTTCCTCATCCCAATCGACTTGAGAATGGTCCAGGACGGACCGAAACGTCGTCGTCCCTTCACCTTCTAGTGTGTGGTCTGGTCAATATTTCGTACTTGACGACTGTTCTCTACACCTACGTTATATAAAATGATTTACATCACAGTGTGGGCGATGAGTAGGGTTAAGCGTCCGCATGCCCACCTCTCCTCTATGTAGTAACCTCCACCAATTTATTAGGATTTGTTAATAAAAAAAATTTTGCTTTGCTAAAGGTCCGGCCCGCGGTCATGTTAAGCTTATGTCATATATCCAAGTGACATACACAAAGCTGAACAAAAAAGGGTACTTTTTGACTATAGTCAGAATTGTTAGGAGTCACATTTATAACACGCACAGTTACTGTCGGTTCTGGAGTCTTAATTATCGCCTAACTACTGTGTAAATATACACATAAATTTCATACTTTGTCAGCAAACGACATATATCGGGGAAATTTAATTATGTATTTAATGACATCGTTTTTAGCGTGTGTATATGTATATTAATTCTAGTAGTGTGGAACATAGTAAATTAATGTCATACTATTGGTACAGTACTGCTACAGTCACTACAGGCCAACTGCTACACATGTAAGCCTGCTACTATAGCCACTATAGACCTACTGCTTCACCCACTATGGGCCCACCCTAAAATTATCAACAGTATTATCTCAATTTTGTTCCTTATCTCGTGTAGCCAAAACGTTGCCTCCGTTTGAAATAATATTGTTATAAGAGTGGGCGGGTGTTGAAGACTATTGGTGGAGATCACCGTGAAAACAAGCTCTGGTGGCCTCTCTCTCTCTCCTCCACACACACACACACACCCCAGCTCTGTAACTGGATGCCACATCACTAATCACAGCCGCCACTATTGCTTAGCCTGGTTTTATAATCTCCAACTTATCTCTCAGTTTCAACAAAGATTACAGGGATGATATGAGGATACATAACAGCGGGGTACGTTCAGATAAAACTACTATCAAGAGAGCCGTGCGCGTGTCAACGTGACCGTGCCGCCCTGAGCACCAGGCGCACGAGAGACAATGTAACCCACTTACACCAACAGTCTTAGAACACGTACTTGAGTACAGCCAAGAGACGCAGTCTGTCGCAGTTTGGGTTCTAGAGAAGCAACTCACCATAACCTTGAGGTGTGGGATACCTTGCTGCTGTCTAACATCCTCCAAACGATGACAGGACAAGGGTAAGCATAAATATTATCACTAGAATAAGCACGAGATGAGCAGGCGAGCATTGTCTCACTACCTGGACACAAGTGACAGGAAAATCTCTTGCGAGTAGGCCACCGCATCGCCTTCACACACACAACTTAAGTCTCCAGAATTATCTTACTTCTGGTTAGCCAACTCTTCTGTTGCACTTGTTACAAAACGCACACTAAATTTCTCTTACAACACCATTACTTCTTCTTCCCTTGGGATTACATGTCCACCTGAGAAATTTCAGCTTTGTCCCACAAATTAAACTTACTGCCAGCAGATTAATGGTATTTTCAAGGTACACAGCAACTTCAAAAGGCCTCGTGTGTTACAGAAAACACTGCTTTAAGTGTGTTTCTCAGAGTTCCCAGCCATATTAGACATACAGACAGCCATAACACACACACACACACACACCAGCAGGTGGCGCGGAGTGCCACGGGAGGAGGTGTTGTCGAGGCGAAGGTTACACCACTACTGACTCATGGACGCCACGAGGCAGCTAGCCACTACAGGCACCCACACTAGCCTGTTGCTGCTGCTCACTACTTCATGCTGCCCCACTTCTCTCTCTTCTCTCTATTCCTCCTAATTCTCTACTCGCACACACCCTGGTGATGAGTCAACTAGCACAGGTACAGTAATCCCATAATTATCACACGGAAGTATATGCTGCCGAGAACAGAAAATGGCAAAACTTTTGGCAGATCGCTCGAGGATATCCCAAGCCATACCCACCAGCACCTGTGGCCACCAGGCTACATACCTCCGTCTCCCTCATACACACATACACGCACATATAAATGGACACCCACACACGTGTAACACATATCCGGACACAGCCATAGAGAAGTTGAATGAACTATGGCGTGACATGGAGGTAGACTCAAACATAGATTCAGATGTTGATTTGACAGAACCCAAAGTGAGTACTCTAGTCGTACATGTTTACTCGTGTGTAATTACCCAAGTGTAGTTACAGGATGAGAGCTACGCTCGTGGTGTCCCGTCTTCCCTGTACTCTTTGTCATATAACACTATGAAACTACTGACGGTTTTGACCACCACCTTCTCACTTGGCTTGTTCCAACCGCTACCATTGTTTGTGAAAGTCAATTTTCTTATATTTCTTCGGCAGTTTTGTTTAGTTAGTTTAAATCTATGACCTCTTGTTCTTGACGTTCCAGGTCTCAGGAATTCTTCCTTATCAATTTTATCGCTGTTGTTGTTGTTTTAGATTCAGTTACTTGGAACAAAATGTTCCAAGTAGCACGGGCTATGGTAAGCCCGTAGTGGATTAAAATGTAATTATCTAATATGAGAATAAGGAAAAGCAGTGTTGCAAGGACTGTACTCTGAGGCACAGAGCTTTTATCTGCGCTCTGACTATTTTATATGATTTACCTGGTTGATGGGGTTCTGGGAGTTCTTCTACTCCCCAAGTCCGGCCCGAGGCCAGGCTTGATTTATGAGCACTTGGTCCACCAGGCTGTTGCTTGGAGCGGCCCGCAGGCCCACATACCCAACACAGCCCGGTTGGGCCGGCACTTTTTTTTTTTTAGAAAACAATCTAGTTTTCAATTGAAAATGTCCACGGTTGTTCCGGAAATATTTCTTATATTCAGGCGATGAGTCACAATAACGTGGCTGAAGTATGTTGACCAGACCACACACTAGAAGGTGAAGGGACGACGACGTTTCGATCCGTCCTGGACCATTCTCAAGTCGAATGTCTTATATTCGTTGGGAGGACGTTGAACAGCCGCGGACCTCTGATGTTCATACAGTGTTCTCTGATTGTGCCTATGGCACCTCTGCTCTTCACTGGTTCTATTCTGCATTTTCTTCCATATCGTTCACTCCAGTATGTTGTTATTTTACTGTGTAGATTTGAGATCTGGCCCTCCAGGACTGTTACTCTGTGTTCTGTTCGACAGGAAATTGAGTATCCACCGTCCTACTTTACCAGTTATTCCCATTGACCTCATTTTATGTGCTATCACTCCATGGTCACGTTTATCGAATGCCTTTGCAAAGTCCGTGTATACCACATCTGCATTTTATTTTCCTTATAATGCCTCTGATTTTGTCGTAATGGTCAAGTAGCTGTGAGAGGGATGATCTTCCCGCTCTAAATCCACGTTGGCCTGAGTTGTGGAGGTCATTGGTCTCTATGAAACTGGTGACCTGACTCCTGATCACTCTCTCAAATACTTTTATTATGTGGGACGTTAGTGCAACTGGTCTATAATTCTTTGCCAATGCTTTGCTCCCTCCCTTGTGTAGAGGGGCTATGTCTGCTGATTTAAGCGCATCTGGTATCTCCCCCGTGTCCAAGCTCTTCTTCCTCCACACTATACTGAGTGCCAGTAGCACAGGCACTCAGTATAGCGTGGAGGAATTGCTTGGACACGAGTAATTATCAAAAGAAGACACCAAGCCGGGGTAGACTATATAGCAAGATTCCCACGAAGACGTGACTCTACTTCACTTAACCGGTCACACAAACACTATCTTTAGCTTAGCCACTGTTAAACACTGTTAAACTTATCACTGTTAAACTTATCACTGTTAAACAACGTTATTTCCCGCTGCCCAGTCGAAGACTTTACTAATATCGACAAGCTTTTTTAGTGTCTTGTACAGAAGTAATTTTCATGCTGATTTTTGTATGAGGTGCCAAGGATGACACGAAGTTGTGACTAGAGTCTCTATGTGTTAATGGTGACCTGGACGGCTGAGGCAGTCACAGAGGGAGCAGCTGGCCATGTTAAGTGTCACCATTAGGAGGCCTGGTCGACGACCGGGCCGCGGGGACGCTAAGCCCCGGAAGCACCTCAAGGTAAGGTAACCATCCGCCACACATCACCAGCGGTCCCAATGTTCCCCACACCAATAAAGTTTGTTTTTCACTGATATTCGTTATTATTTATATCGTTATTAATTTAATGAAAATTACTTTTATTAAAGCCTAATAATGTCAGCTGCCGAGGACCCTGAGACTCGCCTCAAGGGGCCAGGAATCCGTACCAACGCGATGAGTGGGTAGGTGGGTGGAGCTAAGGGGGAGGGGGAGAGTTATAGGTAAGGGAGAGGGAGGGAGGGAGGGAGATGAGAGGTTAAGGTAGGGAGGAGTGGAAGGTTTTGGCAAGCAGGTGAGAGGCCGAGCACCGGGGCCCGTGTAGGGAAGGGGGAGAGTAGGTGGGAAGGGGAAGGAAGGGACGATGACGGGGGAGGGTGGAAAAGAGAGGGAAAGGGCGGTGACGGGGAGGAAGGGAAGGGGAGGGAAGGGGAGGAAGGGAAGGGGCGGTGACGGGGAGGAGCACAGAAGGTTTTGGCAGACAGGTTGGGGGTTAGGTCTTAAACACCTAAAGTATTCCTCACACGTGCTGTCTGCCCTTGAGAAAGGACAGTGGACAGAGGGAAGGGAAGAGTAACTGTGGACGGAAAGTGGCGAGGAACGCTGAAGGAAGAGAGGAAGGGAAGGGGGAAGGGAAGGGGGGGAAGGGAAGGGAAGGGCCTAAGTCCTGTGAGCCCAAACTATTCTGGTTCACGTTGTGAGTGGTGGAGGAAAGAAAAATTATTATTATTAACATCTTTATTGTCAAAATTAATTACAATTTTGCCTAATCTGAGGATTTCGATTAAGTCTTATTAAAGTGAGGATAATGTTGGTATTCAAAAGTTGCAAACTATGCACCTGTGTAGTCACTCACCTGTGGCAGTGTACTCACCCTCTCCAGTATACTGACGTACGCGCGCGCGCGCGCGTGTGTGTGTACTCACCTATATGTACTCACCTATATGTGCTTGCAGGATCGAGCATTGACTCTTGGATCCCGCCTTTCGAGCATCGGTTGTTTACAGCAATGACTCCTGTCCCATTTCCCTATCATACCTGGTTTTAAAATTATGAATAGTATTTGCTTCCACAACCTGTTCCTGAAGTGCATTCCATTTCCCCACTACTCTCACGCTAAAAGAAAACTTCCTTACATCTCTGTGACTCATCTGAGTTTCAAGCTTCCATCCATGTCCTCTCGTTCTGTTACTATTCCGTGTGAACATTTCGTCTATGTCCACTCTGTCAATTCCTCTGAGTATCTTATACGTTCCTATCATGTCCCCCCTCTCCCTTCTTCTTTCTAGTGTCGTAAGGCACAGTTCCCTCAGGCGCTCTTCATACCCCATCCCTCGTAGCTCTGGGACGAGTCTCGTTGCAAACCTCTGAACCTTTTCCAGTTTCATTATATGCTTCTTCAGATGGGGACTCCATGATGAGGCGGCATACTCTAAGACTGGCCTTACGTAGGCAGTGTAAAGCGCCCTAAATGCCTCCTTACTTAGGTTTCTGTGTGTGTGTGTGTGTGTGTGTGTGTGTGTGTGTGTGTGTGTGTGTGTGTGTGTGTGTGTGTGTGTGTGTGTGTGTGTGTGTGTGTGTGTGTGTACTCACCTAATTGTGCTTGCGGGGGTTGAGCTTTGGCTCTTTGGTCCCGCCTCTCAACTGTCAATCAACTGGTGTACAGATTCCTGAGCCTACTGGGCTCTATCATATCCACATTTGAAACTGTGTATGGAGTCAGCCTCCACCACATCACTTCCTAGTGCATTCCATTTATTAACTACTCTGACACTGAAAAAATTCTGTGTGTGTGTGTGTGTGTGTGTGTGTGTGTGTGTGTGTGTGTGTGTGTGTGTGTGTGTGTGTGTGTGTGTGTGCGTGCGTGCGTGCGTGCGCGTACGTGTGCGCGTCATGTCCTTGTTGTGTGTGCATGTTTTCATGAGTGAGCATTTATCTTTGCGTGGGCGTGGATGTGCTGGCAAGGCACCAGGTGTGGGCGTGGATGTGCTGGCAAGGCAGCAGGTGTGGATGTGCTGGCAAGGCAGCAGGTGTGGGCGTGGATGTGCTGGCAAGGCAGCAGGTGTGGGCGTGGATGTGCTGGCAAGGCAGCAGGTGTGGGCGTGGATGTGCTGGCAAGGCAGCAGGTGTGGGCGTGGATGTGCTGGCAAGGCAGCAGGTGTGGGCGTGGATGTGCTGGCAAGGCAGCAGGTGTGGGCGTGGATGTGCTGGCAAGGCAGCAGGTGTGGGCGTGGATGTGCTGGCAAGGCACCAGGTGTGGGAGTGCCAGCCTCGACACTGTCACCTGCTCTTAAGAATAACTAGCCTCGTCACTTGGCGCTCCTCCACCTAATTCTTCCGGGTAACGATCTAATCACTTCCGGTGACAGACAGACATGCTGGGCGACTCTGACCATCATCGCTCAACAAGACAGCAACATGAATATCATTCATTATCTACCATGACCTTCAGAATGTCTTCCAGAAACCTGACAAGCACCCACCAACGGTCTTTACCAAACCTGATCCTTGCTGCCTGGTGGTTCCTGGTTATGGTATAAGGTTAATA